ATGGGACCTACCTCGTTATTTTGACTATGACATCGTTCATGGTCGAGCAGGAACGAGTGTGGAATGGATTCGAATCTATGTGCCGGATCAGTGGCATCCAGTAGCCCCAGACACCCTGGGACCGGCCCCGGATGACCCGACCGCCTATCGGGAATGGCGCAAGGTCTACCACTTCGAAGTGTACTGGCCCAGGGAAAGCACGGGCGGCACAACTATACGGCTCTGCAACCGGTATCCTATGCCACCTTCTACACTTGGTATTACAGGGACTGGGTCACCAGGGGGTATCAACGCCTGGGTCGTCCACATCCCAGCATAGCGAGGCCAGTTTTCGCTTCGGGTGCACCGGACCTCATGTATGCTGGAATTTCGGCATCATCTAATTCACGTGATAGCTGATGCCCGTCCTCGCCTCCCTAGAGAGTCTGCCTGAGATGTTGGCGACGCACAGTGCTACAAAAGTGGTCTTTTGCCTTTTGATAGTTGAGTTGCTTTCACTTGTTGTTGTCTGCAGCCGTACACCTATCAACTTGTTTTTCCGTGGTTGCGTTGTCATGCCGTGGCTGGAATGGTGCCCAGACCCGCAACAACCTGATGCCCAGTGGGTCAAGATCTTTCATCCGGGACCATGGACGCCTCAAGAAGAACATGATGCTCCACCTCCTCCGCATACTTTCAGAGAATGGCGGGAGTTCTATGCTCCCAACCAGGACTCAGTCGAAGGGCAAGTCCAAGTCACTACGTGGTACAAGCGTGACTGGGCCACAGAGGGCTATCGGAGAATCGCTGCTCCTCACGCTGGTCATGAATTTGATTCCATGTATCCCTCCGATCACCATAACGTGGCCACGCAGTCTGCGGCATTGAGTATGTCACCGGAGCTGTTAGACGCGATTCTCAGGTCCTCGGATGCGGCTGATTTCTCCACTGAAGAACTGATTCGTCTCCAGGAGGGGAGTTCTCAACAACTGACGGCCCGCGCACGTCAGACCTCCCATCCTCATCAACCAGTACGTGCATCGCGTGGAAACACACCATCGGAGACGATTGGGGTCTCCGACCCCTACACGCCCGTGAATCCGTCCGACAGTGGCCAAGACAAGATGAGGCCCGTCTTCGAGCTGACTGACGACTAGCCGTGCATGAGCAGCGCAGCGTACAAAATAAGGGTGGCCTCTACGCTTGCATGATCTTGCTTTGCTGTTGTTTGAACATGGTTGTGCATGGTGCTTGTTCATCTACTAGCTGGATCGGAGCCCGCGACCATCCTTGCCTCTTGCCTTGACATGGACATCGATGATTCCAAGCAGTATCCATGGCTCGAATATTCGGTCTGGCATGATCAGGAGTGGGTGCGGATATACACTCCGGGACAACCTCAACGATGGCACCGTGGTGACGCCGTACCTGATCTACCTGAAAACTCTTTTCGTGAATGGCAGCGGGTGACGGATCCCGAAGCGCCAGTCCAGGCATGGAACATCCGTGACTGGCAACACCAAGGGTACCAGCGCATTCTGTCTCGGATGGAGTCCTTCGCAACTCACGATTCACAGGATCAGACTCTTGGTCAAGGTCGGAACTCCGATGCCGTTCAAGTTGAGGAGACCTTCACCTATGCCACTCCGTTTTCTCATGGTGATCGCCAGGCTGCTTCACAAATCGCTTCAGTCCTCTATGGCGACACTCGCAACGCTCAACGTGGTGATCTTTCGTTCCCGTCTTCTGAGCGGTTTAGGGCAGTGTCTCGCTCCCCTCGCCGTGGTGGATATTTTGGTCAACGATAGAGATTTGAGTTTGAGCATGTGATCTTCCTGCAGAAAAAGAGAAACCTCGCCCCTCGTAGAGGGGCGTGTGTGTGCGGAGTGACAGAATGCCCTGTCACCACCCTTTCTATTTCGCAGCAGGGGCGTGCAGCACCTTTGGCATACTGCACGCAATGAAGCTACTGCCAAAGGTGGGAAGGGTGTCCAGACGTGGACACCTGTACCTGCGTCGTGATGTTGCTGAAAGTCCTTTTGGTCCCCTCCCTGAACCGCCGTTGTTTTGTGTTTCCCTGTTAAAGTACCTACAGGGAAGCCAAGTGCATTGCGAGCCGAAACTCATCGTACTCGAGACTTGTCGGTTGTACTCGAGACTCATCAGTTGTACTCGAAAGATTAGCACTCTCCATCTGGAGTTCAAGTGTGTGCGGAGTGGCAGAATACCCTGCCACCACAATTGCTTATGATTTCAACCGCAGGGGGGCAGAGAGGACTTGCAAAGCTCTGCCCAACGAAGCTCTTTGCAAGCTCCTAGGATACGGAGTTTGATCAACTCCGCGTACCTGCGCAACTCGTGTGATTCAAAGTCCTTTTGGCCCGTTGTTTCTCTCGCTGTGTGTGCTTCATGTTGCTTCTGTAGCGGTTTCGATTCTACCGGAAAGCCAAGCGTCTTGCGAGCCGAAACTCATCGTACTCGAGACTTATCAGTTGTACTCGAGACTCATCAGTTGTACTCGAGACTCATCAGTTGTACTCGAAAGATTAGCACCCTCCCTTGGGAGTTGAAGTGTGACTACCCCAGCTTGGGGGAACCTCGGGTGTACCCATCGTGTGACCCCGGGCCGGTTCGCCGGAAAATTTGACCTCAACGTTCTTATCACAGCTCAGCGGAATTTCACGTTTAAGCAGGAACGAGGTTTCACTAAAGGGAAGACAGCCACCAGATCATAGTGACGTTTCACCTTCCTCGCTTTCGTCGTCCGCGTGTCCGTCGTCTGGCTCTTCGCCCGTTTAGGGATGGCTTCCTCTTCCTCCCGGTGTCTTCTTTCTGGTTTTCGCGACCCGCGTGTTTGTCGTCCTTCTCTTCGCCCGCTTAGGGATGGCCTGTTTGTCCTCGCGGCGTTCATCTTTCTCCTCGTCGGTGTCTTCTTGTCTGTCTACCTGTTCCTACTCCTCGTTTTCCTCGCGCTGTTTGGCTTGCCGTCTTCTTCCCCTTCCGTTGCTATTTCGTGTTCGTCTTCTTGGCCCCTTTGCAAGATTTGACGCCCTCCTCTTCAAGCCTTGGCCTTCATCCTCTGTGTCTGCATGGGCGGGATGCGACGCCCTAAGCACGCATACTACTACCTCTCTCCTCCCCTCCCCCCTCTCCTTTCCTCCCTCTTCCTTCTTTTCTTCTTTCGTCTCCTTCCTCTTCTTTTTTTCTCTTTCTCGCTCTCTCTTTCTTTCTTTCTTTCCTTCTTTTTCTCCTCCCTCTTTTCCAACTACTTCCTGGTGTTCCCCTTCGCCCGTTTAGGGATGGCGTGTTCGTGGTGTCGTTCTTCAACTTCGCGGTGCTCTTTTTCTACCAGGTTTAGGAGGGTTTCTGGGCTGTTTAGGGTTCTTTGCCCTCGACGGTGACCCTAATCTCGGGTTCCCCTGTTTTTCGTGTTTCTTGGTTGGGTTTTGCCCGCGGAGACCCAACGTGGGGCCTTTCTGTTCTTTTGTTTTCCTGCTCTGTTTGTTTTCTGTTGGGGTCTTCGCCCGGTTTTGGGGCGCGTGTTTCCCCCCGAAAAAGTGGTTCTCGCCCCTCTTTGAGGGGCGTGTGTGTGTGCGGAGTGGCAGAATACCCTGCCACCACAATTGCTTATGATTTCAACCGCAGGGAGGCAGAGAGGACTTGCAAAGCTCTGCCCAACGAAGCTCTTTGCAAGCTCCTAGGATACGGAGTTTGATCAACTCCGCGTACCTGCGCAACTCGTGTGTTGTTTCTCTCGCTGTGTGTGCTTCATGTTGCTTCTGTAGCGGTTTCGATTCTACCGGAAAGCCAAGCGTCTTGCGAGCCGAAACTCATCGTACTCGAGACTTATCAGTTGTACTCGAGACTCATCAGTTGTACTCGAGACTCATCAGTTGTACTCGAAAGATTAGCACCCTCCCTTGGGAGTTGAAGTGTGTGTGTGTGTGTGGGTGCGTGCGTGTGCGTGTGCGTGTGCGTGTGCGTGTGCGTGTGCGTGTGCGTGTGCGTGTGCGTGTGCGTGTGCGTGTGCGTGTGCGTGTGCGTGTGCGTGTGCGTGTGCGTGTGCGTGTGCGTGTGCGTGTGCGTGTGCGTGTGTGTGTGTGTGTGTGTGTGTGTGTGTGTGTGTGTGGGTGTGTGTGTGTGTGTGTGTGTGTGTGTGTGTGTGTGTGTGTGTGTGTGTGTGTGTGTGTGTGTGTGTGTTGGGGGGGGGGGGCGGGGGTTGGGTGGGTGTGCGGTTGTGGGGGTGGTGTGTGGGGGTGTTGGGGACTGTGAAGGTACCACAGACCAACCCCTGGGATTCTTTGGCCACGCTGGATCCGCATCTTCAGGCTCCCAGCTTCAGGCTCGCGGCGTGGATTCGGACCTCAGGCCTGAGGTCCGACGAGTGTTGACCACATTCTGAGTGAAGCAGGGCAGTTTCCAGACTTGTCGTGGGGAACCAATTCAAAGAGTTGCGCAAGACAAGCACCCGTCCCCCCACCCACACTCCCACTCACTGCAGACCCGCCCCCCCCAAACCCGTGCCCGCCCAACGAGAAACCTCACGACCCGCAACTCATCGAACCACGAATCAAAGACTACATCCCTCAGATACCAAAAAGTCTTTGTACCAGGATCACTGGGCATTTGTGCGTGTGTCCACCACTTTGGGGGTCCAACCGAGGAAAAAAAACGAGCCGCCCATTTGAGCCGAGTCTTCAAAACCGATTCGGGTAGATAAAGGGTAGAGACACTCCCCTTGCCATCAATGGGTGCGGATCTCCGCCTTTTTAGTTTCTGAACATGGTTTCCGCCCGTTCTTAAACCGACCTGAAGCTGTCGCAACCAAGCAGCCCACAGGTCTGGGACAAAAAGCAGCTGCCGCATCAGACTGGCAATAGCCTACTGAGGCCCCCGTATTGAGGGTGTGGAATCGGCTTGGATGACTCCGTTAAAATCAGAGGTGCATTTTGCCAAGGGATGTTAGGACTGGAAAAAACTTTGGGCCAACTAGTGCCAAAAGTTTAAAAAAGCTTTTCGCGGAGCAGAGTTCGCCACCGAGGGAGTCCGGCGAAGCGTTTTTTTTCGGCCGCTTCGGATGGCCATGGACTGCGAGTTCCCGGAAGACTGGGAGGCCGTGGCTTTTGAGGAGGCGCGCCGCGCGCGGCCAAGTTTCGTTGGTCATGTTTAAAAGGGAGCATAGAAATCTGTGCTAAGGGGGGAGCATGGCCAAGAATCCTTGGCAGGATTTCTGTGAAACGGGGAAGGAAAGGCAAGGGGTTTTCCGAGAAATCATGGGAGCTGACAGGAAGCTACTGGAAGACTGGAGTCCTGCTGGAAAGGCCCTCCACTCCCATGCTTGCTGGGAGGGCAAGTGGTGTGGAATTTGAATTTGATTTGTGGCACCTCCCCGAGAGCGACTTGGGTTGGGTTTTGAGGCAGGACCTTGGGCATTCATCGTCTTTGGTTCTTGGCTATGGCTTTGAATGTTTGGATCATCCTGAAAAGGGGTTCACAAATCCAACCATGCTTTCATGATGTCCACCACAGGGCCCATGCCCCATTGAATCCCTTCAAAGTGAGAAAGTACCCATGTTAGTATCAGAGCAAGGCTGATTTCCACCACCATGGCAAACATTTACATAACCTGGTCCCACTTCTGGATCAACCATAAAATCCGGAGTCCAATGGAAGCGGACAGAAGGATTTTGGAAGCTGATCCTCTTAAAGCGGCCCTGTCCTTGGGGAAGGGGGGGGGGAGGGTTGCCAACCCCCTTATGCAAAAGGCGCCGGGCCAACCGCACTGGAGCGACCAGAAAGCAAAACGCGGGGGTTTCCTCCATTTCCGCTTTGAGGCATGGCTCGCAAGGGACACCCGCCTGAAAAGGCCCAAGCTTGGTGTTTCAAGGCATGGAATTGGGCGTGGGCCCGTTACCAGACAAGCCACTGCAAAGCTCTCCTGTCCCTGCAACTTGTTGAGCAGCTCGCGGCGCATGCGCCGGAAAGAGCTCTCCCGCTTTCACGCCCCGCTGAACGGTCGCCCTTAAGCCCGTAGGTTGACGCCGATTCGGCTCCGCCGCAGGGCGCCTTCCGTGAAGATCCGATTGCCTTCGCTTTTTCCTCGGTTTTTTGCCAAAGTGGCCGCGGCGAATGCAAAAAACCGGGATTTTTTCCCCAAAATGGCGAGCAAGCCCGATCGGTAAGTGGAGACATGGGTACCAAAATTCCTGCGGTTTGCCCCTCCTGCTTAATTTTGAGCCACACCCAAGTGTTTCCGCATTTCGAGTTCTAATGACTGCCACTTGCGGCTCATCCGGCGCCTTTCCTCCTTCAAGGGCCCGCCCTTCCTCAGGCATGTTGCGATCTCGAAGGATCTCCTTTTTGGGGATCTCAATAGGATCATATGACCGTGCCTCAAAATAAGGGGGCCCTTTTTTGGGATGGAGTTCAGCCGAAAACACAAAAGAAACCAACCACCTGTGATATCATGCATTCTCATGTTGGTTGATGATGCGGAGTTGTAGCACGCAGCACAACTTGATGTGTTGTAAGAGTTGCCACCACGCTGCTCCAATCTGGGGTTTTTGTGTCTGCGCTGCTCTTGTGTCATGCGGACGTGGCAAGGGGTTCTGATTGCGGTCGAATTCTCCAAACCAGCAACAAGATCTAGTCACATTCCTCGGCAACAGATTGAGTGGAAAGAGGGAAAGTCTCAGGGATTGGTTGGACGAACAACAAACAATCCTTTGGAAACTCCCAGGCCTTAGGTTGACCGCAGCAGGTTGAACAAAAATCCTGGACCCGAAGCCTTCCCTGTGCTTCCAGGAGGTGGCAGTGGACGACTTCGAGGAGGCCAGCGCATGAAAAATCGGGTCCTTTGCTCGAAATTTTCGAATCGGGGGTTGGAATTGTAGACTCACTTCCTGAGTTCATGAACTTTGAACTTTTTGGGAAGACCATTTTTGTGGTAAACAAAAGGTTTGAGCTTTTTTTGGGCCATCCACTCAGCCAGTGAGTAGAACTTTGCAGATGGTCAATCAAGTTTTGCTGCCCATAGCACGTGAGGGGAACCGCATGTGCCGGGAGCGAGCGGACATTTTGGGACCGCTAGCCAGTAGTGGTCGGGCAGAGGTGCGTGAGAAAAGATTAGAGTTTGAATTAGCAGGTAGAGGCTCCTCCAAGTTTGTAAGTATGTATGTATGCGTATAAATGGTGTGTGTATATATATATATATTATAATATATATATATATATGTATATGCCCCATGAAAGTCCAGTTCATGGGCTGTAGACTTTTCGGGAAGCTCCTTTTAATGGCAAGCATGGGTGCGCCCACTCAGGGCGTGAGACACCTTTCAGCCTCTCATCCAATAGTGATTCGGAGCCAAGGCAAGGGGAGTCATCGCAACTTATAGCAGAGGTTGTTTAGGCTGTGGGCTTCAATGGTGCCCTTTTACCCTTTTTTGGGGGAGGGTTCCCCGACTAAAATGGACTACAGAAAAAAAGGGTACCCTGCTTCCAACCTCTCTAATTACTGGAGGACCTAGAAGCCATTGTCTGATTGAAAGGACCACCCAAAGGGAGGTTCTTATGATTTCAAGGGGCCGTGGCGTAAAATAAAAATCTGCGAGGAGCCCTTGCAAGAGCCTCCAGAACTTCCAGAGGGGCTGATTGAAGAGCTGGAGGAGGATCTCTTGCGTGGTGGCGCGCGGATCAGAACTCATGTTTTCGTGTTTGGACTTTGTACCTGGGAAGAAAGTAAGACATGTGAGCAAGTTTATGTACTTGTTGTATTGCGGCAAAACCAAAAGTCGAGACATTCTTTGGCCAGCCCACTCAAGTGAGGAAAGGGCTTCTATTTACGGCAGGCTGTTTAGAGGCACATGCCGGTTCAGCCCTGCTTGCTGGTGGGTCTCCTGGTTCGATAGGCATCCCTGAGTCACCCCGAATTGGGGGTTTCCTACTTTGGCGGTCTGGGACGAATGCAAAACGGCTAGTTAAGCCTGAGAGAGGGGACTTACAAGCATGATAAGTCTGGTAAGTGGGTCACGACCGGGGTCACCAGCCAGACCATCTAAGTAGGGGATCCCTACGTTCATTCCCAAAACCCTCGAACGAACTGAGAACCGTCTTCCGTATCAGCCACGGTTGCAGGCTTCCCGGGATCAGCTTAAACACGAAGCAAATGCCGATCTTCAATTGTTCAGAGCGCTATCTCTCGGCCTGAAGGTTCAAAGGAGGGAAATGGAATGCCTCCTTGCACATTTTGTCCGTCAGTATGTCACTGCATGTTGGTTTGAGTTGTTTGGTGGTCTTTGCAGTGATTGGAATTATGTTGGTATTGCGGGTGCTTTTTGTTTGGAGGACCCCGGGCAATGGTTGTTGGTTTTCCGCTAAAACAAAGAATCCAACTCAAAGAATACCACACACTGGCTTCTTTGCCCGGGGTATACAGAATCGCATTTTCAGAATCCGTGTTTAAGATGTTCTGCTTCCTGGAAAGATATGCGCCATTTGTGTGGCTCATTGGTTTCGGCGCCTCAGGAGCTGCAGGAGGAAGTCCTCCTTGAGGCGCCTGAGGCGGCGCGAGCCCGCCGCGTTGCGGGCGTGCGCCGGGCACGGCTGGTCCTATGTTTGCAGGTGCCGATTTTTTAGAAGGGCCCCTCATGGGTGGGTTGTTGAAACGGGGTTTGGTTGGTTTTCTTTTGTTTCTTTGACACTTTGCAAAAAGCAGCGAAAGCTTTGCCAAAAAGAACATTTTGGGGTACGGTTCCAGAGGGAAACCAAAAGGAAACCCAACGCCGTTTTTGTTGGGGGCCCCTTAAAAGATGCACCCATTTGGTTCCGAGAACTTCACCGCCCTGGGCCTTGTGATCCTAATCTGACCAAGTAGGAGAACCCATTAGATTGGCCAATGGGAATCGGCTTTGGGCCCCCAAATTAACGAGAAGGCCCCGCATAATAATAATGACTATTATTTTTTATCAATACCTATATATATATATATATATTTAATCTATATTTATATTTAATAATTCCTTAAATAAGTTCGATTTTTTCCTAAGCCTCCTAAAACCTAATATACCCACAAACCAGGAACTAGAATCAGAAGCCAGATACTAACGCAACACTAGAAGCCAGCAAACACGACCACCATAAATAAGCCTAGGCATCACAACAAATACCCTTCCCCTCCCCATTGCATGATTATACCAAGGGTTGTGAAGGGTTACGTGATGTTTATTTAAGACCCGAGCAGAGAAGAATGGATTCATCGGCCTCCGCTTATTTGGTTTGGATGGGGTTGCATACCAGCTGTTCAATTTGCGGGGTGAACGGACCTACGTACGGGTTTGCAAGGACTAATCACGCGACTAGATGGTATCAATCTGTCAAAATTTCGATTTGGATCCCCCCGAAACCGCGGGGCCTTCTTTGGATTTGCCTCTTAAACCCACCATAAAAAGGGCGCCGGCACCAACTCCAAAAACCCACCTAGATCATGTCACTGACAGATGCACCTTCCATTTGCGACTTGTCAAGGTGATCGGGTCATTTTCATTTGGTAACCCTGACCAGATCAATCACAAGGGTCAGGGCTCAAGCCGGCCAACGCCATGTGTGGCAACGAGAACCCCGCAACAAGAACCATCGCCGGGTCCAACGCTTCCTAAGTGAGCCATTTGAGCCTCCAGATGAAAAAACTTCCGCCCGCTTCCCTCAATCAGAAGCTCCCAACCTTTCGGGCCGCGTTCTTTGGTTGTTACTGTGGATGGACGAAATCCTGCACCACTTGGAAACCTTGGGAAACCATTGTTTGTTGGTATTTACACGGGAATCATCATTCCAGGTTTCTTAGGTGGTGCAGGATTTCGTCCATCGACAGTAGGCCCCCCATTTGGGACCTTTTTAAACCCACTCTAACCGGGGGCGAACCCATGGCCTTGGAGCCAGGGTTTCCAAACCCAAAAGCCTTTCGGGAGTAAGGGACAGCTAGAGGAAGTTCGAAGCCATTTTTGTCCCGTTCTTGCAGATGCATAATCCTTTTAACAAAATCCCCATGTTTCTCCCACTCCGCCCCCATTCTTGCAGATACGCCAAGTAGTTGAGACATGGCGGAAAGTTCCGGGCCCGCGAGCTAGTCGATTTTTTCCGGCAAGGTGAGGCGTTCAAATGGCCATGGGTGTAGCATGGATGAGTTCTTGTCCTTCTTGGAGGTGACAAATGGCAGGGCTCATTGCATTGGAAACTGGACCATGAAGCTGGTAAAGGAACGGTTGTGCGAGGATGGTTCAACCCCTTTGATGATGAGAACATCACGTGATTGGGTGATGTAGGTTAGACATATGATATATATATATATATATATATATGTTTGTTTGAGAACAGGGCCTTGACACATTCATGCTTGACATACTGTTTGACAGCTGCCTATCCACTTGCATATAGAAGCACCCAGCTTGTTGACAGTGCGCACCCCACATATTTGCAAAAGAGAGATGGGAACAACCACGACTCTCAGTTGTTCATCTTGCCCTCAGGACGGTTTTAACCCAGCTCATCAAAGCGCAGGTTCTTTCTTTGGCTCTTGGCGCGAACAGCCCCAACCTTCGAACGGGAATTCTACAGGGATTCCCAGGGCTGCTTTGGTGTCGGGGCCTCCTGCAGAACACCCTGGTTGGTGGTTCGTCTTCTGATGGAAAATCCGAAACCCCACGCGGTGCACGACCAGCCCTGCGATTCTCAGTTCATGGGATCGATGTGCGGCAGCCAGCTTGCTGTGGCGACGAAATCCCCTTCTCAATGGAAGCCATGGTTGAAACCACAACGTTAGCTGGTATTTAAAGGGGAATCACCACATTCCAGGGGTTTCCGAACGGTGGTGCGAAATGGATTTTGTCCATCCACAGTCGTGTGCGATTTGACTGCGTATTATTCGTGCCGCAACACGCGATACTTAATTTTGCCTGATGTGCAGCGGGTGCAGCTGGCATCCACGCTGTGAGTTCCTCTGCAGAGCGCGCCCTCCTGTCGCATGCTAAACTCGGTTTGCCTATTCCACATTCCACTGTTTCGCAGGGAAGGAACAGCGACCGTTCTCTTTTTGTCGGCCAGGTTTCCTGGTGATTCGGTCTGCAACTGTCCGGTAGAAAAGTAGGTCTTTGGCCAATTTGCTTCAGACACTCCTGTGTTTTTATCCATCGCTGACGAACTCGGATCCGCGAGGCCTTGCCTGCCGAGGAGGTCGATGACGAGGCGCACATGGGGTGCCGAAACGTGGCGCTGGTTCACCTTCATTTTCTTAGCCCCTGGGATGGTATTATTGTTATTGTTCATGTGTGTTTCTTTGAGCTGTTTTTAGGCTTCTGTTTTGGGGAGATTCGCAGGTATTCATTTTTTGATTGGTTGCATGATATCTTCAGTTTCTATGCTTTTGCCTTTTGAGCAGCTTTTGAGTTTTGTGGTGGTTCAACCAGGAGGGGTGCCCCTATTTTGACGCGTTTCCATTTGGACAGCGCAGACTTAAATGGAAGGCGGCATTTTGAAGCCCAGGGTTCTGGGAGTTTGCCTTGAACATCCATCAGATGGTCCCTTTCAGCAAATTTTGTCCGTGCTTACTGGGATTTCATGGATGGGCTGTTTGCCGCGCTGACCGCGTTTTCACTCCAGAATGGCAAACTGAATGTGAGACTTGCAGCGGGCTGCTTTCTCGTTTCCGTTTTTTGGAGGGAATTCCCTTGAACCCCCCCCCCCCCCCAGACCCCCCCCCCCACCCCGGGTTCCAATCTGCATGTTTCTTCTGGCGTTTGAAGGGCACCCAATTGCCAATGGAAAACACGCTGAAACGACTCTCAATGTATCTCAATGTAGCGATTTTCCCCGCCGTTCAAGCTTCCTTCCCACCGGCATAGCAGCTGTGGGGGGGCTATCTGGAAGATAAGTTTCCTATTGAAGGGATCATTTCAAGCGCCACGGCAACCCGGGAGGCTATCATAGCTTGACACTTTGTCCCCAGCTTTCGTATAGCTCTTCCCGAGCAGCTTCCCCGCCGGAGCAGAATGCGAAATTAAAGAAAGCACTGCACAAATTTGAATAAAGGAGAAAAAAAGGGAAGGAACCCAAAAAGCAGTTTCCTCTAGTGATGGTCTTTTGGGTTCCACGTCAATCTGGAGGGTAAAGACTGTTTCGCCCAATGCAATGCAAGAAGCGATGTGTAAGCAGCGCAATGTAACAGAGTTCGAAGCAGTGCTCCCGGTCTGTTCTTGGGTTGCAGGGGTTGGAATTAAGATCTTCGATTGCGGGCAGGACCCGTATTGGTATGACAAGGCTGTTTTCCACAACCATGTTTTGCTCCTGGCAGAATCAGAAGCTATCCCGGGAAGGGTCCCTTTTTGCTTTTGCAGGTAGCGGATTGGCAAGGTGCAACCCCCATTGGGACTGCAAGTGGCTGCGGTCAACTCTCTGACCTGTCAATTCTCTGACCTGTTTCACTAGTGGGCGGCTGACAAGAATGGACATAGGGGGTTTGTAGGTTTAAACCAGTTTCAATTTCAGTAGTGGGCGGCTGACAAGAATGGACATAGTGGGTTTGTAGGTTTGGTGCTGCCCTTGCTTCCTCGTTTTGGTGGGTTTCCCTTCAAAATCACCTGAGCCACAATCAAAACCTGGGAAAATAGATGAAGGTTAGAACGGGGCAGTCCCAGCCAGAAATAGTTGCGGCAGCCTTCTTAATTCTTTACATGGTCCTGGGTAGACCATTTTAATACCGGGTTTTGATTATGACTCACCTAGCCAAGTAGAAGGAATGTGGGCCCCTTGGACTTCCACTGGACTAAAAATTCGCGTCGCGCAGCAGTTTGGATTGAACCAATTCATAGGATCAAAGCACCCCCTCTCACTAGCCCCTTAGTTGCCTCCGAAGGCGTTCACAAGGTCTTGGAGTCGTAATTGGGGCAGGGTTGGAATCCTAGTTGCAACGTGCCAGATGCAGATGGGGGGGTTTCTCCAAGCAATTAATGCCTTGCTGCCAGGGGTTGACATTTCAGGAACCATTTTCTTGGGACCGATTCCGTTTTTTTTTTTTGAGAAACCCAGATGTGTGATGTACTTCGCTTGGTAGGAGCTAGCAGCCCTGGAAGCAGCCGCCTGCGCTCGCTGGGAGGCTCGCTCCGCGACGCGCATAGGTCCCGGCTTTGGTGGCTCCTGGTTGGGGGAAAAGCGTAGACCCCTACTTCATGCAAAATGGGTGCGCGTTTTGTTTTCTTGAGGGTATCCTTTCCAGTATGTTTTTTTTTCAGGGGAATTTCAGGGGATCAACGCGAAAACTTTGAGGGTTCCCTATTTTGAGTGGGCCCGAAGGGAGCTTCCTGTGGAACTGACGGGGTTTTGAGGCAGGGTGGTTGGCTCGCAAGAGAAAGGGCGACTTCTCGCAGGAAGTGGATAATTTGCCTAGGGTTGCTGGCCGCGCACCGCCGAAGAAACCCTGGAATGATGATTCCCATGTAAATACCAACAAGCAGAGGGGTAGAAACCAGGGATGGGGTTCCTTTCGTTTCACGCAAGAACAGGTGACAAAAAGGTGGACTTCTACTTGCTGAGTAGCCAATGCTAGTCTGACCACACCTTCTCATACTTCCCCGTTTGGTTGGATGGTCAAGCCATCGGGCTTTGGCAGTCCGACTGAAGATTCTTTTCGGAGTGATGCACCGGAGACCCTGTTGACATTTGTCCATGGTGGAGACATGTTGAAATTTAGGGCCGTGGTGTTTTTGCACGTTACCCGGTTGCGGAGCAGGTTTCCAGAGCGGTTGGGGGTTCCCATTGTTTGCTTGTTGCGTTGGCCTCTTGCTCGGCTCGCCTCTAGCCTCATTTCGGCACCCGCCTGCAGTTTCTTTGCTCCTTCGCCGAGCAACCCAAATATTTGACGACGTCGCTTGTGTTGGGGTCAACTTGACAGATATTGCGGCCTGCGAAGCCGGCAGTGCAAGTACATGTGCTTGCTGTCTGTGGGATCTTAGCGAGGGCTGCTGAGATCATAGAATGATATTTCCTTGCCTTGTCGGAGGTCTTGTCTTAAACAATATATTTGCCTGTTTAGATTGTGTCATGAATGTGCGCCCGTCCTGGATAGCTCCCCATGCCTGAGAGATTAGGAGATTGGGAGCACGAAAGGGGTTGGTTCACATGCACTCATGTGATTGCCTTGTTGCATATTCCTTCGGCGTGCCGAGAGTAAGACACCGAAAGAAATGCCCATGGCTACAGATACTACTCGGCTGTGGGTAACTTAAGTGTTGTGTTCATTGGTAGCTTTCTGCGTGGCGCTCGCAAATAGCCAACATTTGTGGGACAGTCACCATACAGGTAAGAAGGTGATGTTGGGATTCCATACGTGGTACAACGAGCATGGCACTGCATTGCTCGTCGACAAAAAGCAATGGCTCCCCAAGAAAGACAGCTCATAAGTATGGCCGTTCATCTTTTCAGGTTTTGCAACCCCTTGGAACCAATGAGTCTCGTTTTTGCCGTGGTCTCGGTGGTGGCTTGTTGGAGATATGGGCAACTGACCAACATTACAGGTAGTCTGTTGTCAGTCTGGAAGAAATGGGGACCCACCCAAACTTGCGACAATTCCTCGGGGCCAACCCAATTTGCCCATGTCCTCTTCTTGAGACAAGTCAACTTTGGCTAATGTGGGCCAGTGTCAATCTACAGACCACTGTACCTGATTGATTTCATGTTGGCTTCCTGTCAACATGATTGTTTGAAAGCACCGTTTTTGGCATATAATGCATATGTTCAGCTACCCAAAGCCAGCCTTTCGTGCTTTGACTTCCATCTGGAATTCATGTTTGGTTGCAACTTGACAGGTATCTGGGCAGATTGCTTTCTCTGTCCGATTTACGTATGTTTGAAGCCTGTGCAGGTATTCTCTGAGAATGCTTCTTTGCTCTGTTCGCCGTTGAAGGATCTTAACAGCGACCGCCGCCTTCAACCACTCCCAAAACCAACTGCAGATCCTCAATCTCCCCCGATCACCCCCGGACTCTTGGACCCACCTTCAATCCAGCGATCCAGCGCAGACCCGAGCACTTGGAGGATACTACTGGCCCCTTGAAAAACATGCCCAACATGCTGGGCCTCATTGAGTTTCCCCCCAAAAACTAAGGGATCCTCAACTTTTTCCCCTTGTCCTGCTCATATCCTTCCCTGCCACGGCAATCTGCTTGGTCTGCTGAAAGACCAGGTTGAAAGGGTCAATTTCCCCTTGGCTCGAGGATATCACTCACCTGGACTGGCTGAAATTGATGGTTTTGGTTTGCTACCTCGCACACCAGGTTGCTGCCGCGCTTGGGACACAGGATGCAACCAGGTCTTATAGACAAACCCTTTTGTTGCGCAACCCCTGTTTTTTGCTTTAGACAAGCCCCAGGACCGGTTTGACTCCTAGTAAAAGGTAAGGTGTCCAACGTAAGAGGGAATCTGAATTACTTTTTCCGGAAACATGCCCTTTGCAATGCTGGTCGATGAATCTGCGTCCAGTTGCTTAAGAATATGTTTCTCCTCTTTTGCTTTTAAAGGGAATCTAACACTACTGGAAATCTGTTGGTGTTCTTTTTTTGCCCTTTCAGGGGGCTGAAGCAAATGAGAGTCCGGGGTCAAAATGAATGACGACAACAACGGCTGAAAGCCTGTTTTTGGACAGAGTCCGATTTGTTGAAACGGTCCAAGACTCCGGGGTCGTTACGCGATACGAGTTTTGCTGGGTCCCAAAAATCCCGGCCGCAGGCCGAAGGCGCCGGAGAGGAGGTCGAAGCGAGCGCGGTCACACAGGCGAGGGCACGGGTTGCGAACTCCACCTAAGAAACCCTGGCAGGAGGCGTCCCCTGTAATTCTTATGTTGTCCAAGCTTGTTTTGGGAAAACTGGGATGTCATAGTGCCAAGTGCTGTTAACTCTCTCAACCTTGCTGGCACTCGGTTGGGTTGATCGTCTTTCTCGGCGCCATTTTGGCTCAAGTCCCTGACTTGATCCCGGGGACCTCGGTTTTGCCTTTGTTTTCCCACCCTCCACTCCCTATGGCCTTCGACCTCAAACGGCCGACGGAGGAGATCAAAGAGAGGGACACTTTAGCGAGACCCCCCTCTGTCTGTCCCAAGGTGTATGTGGACTGTGTCGACAAGATTGAGGAGCATTCAAGGCAAATCCTCACCCAACATGAGGCACCGTGGCTACTCAGGCTTTGTCACCCACCTGGATTGCGGACAAGCTCAACGGCTATACCACAGCCACATCGATCCTTGCGGTAATCAGGCTGGAGAACTCACTGGATGCCGTCAAGAAGAGGAAGCTGAGCGAGCTGGAGATCTCCCCGGTGGTGGACCACAGGGCCATGCTGGGCAGAGGAGATCGCAATGAGATGAGAGCGGCATACCAACTAAGGTTCAGGACCAAGCTGGAGGTGGAGTTCGAAGGATCGGACCAGCTGCAGGATGTGGATACAGGCTTTTGATCAGTGCATGCCGGGCCATCCATCCAAGGTGATGACCAACCTCAAGGTGGACTGGGATGGACTCCGGTGTGCGCACCCCAAACACCCACAATGGCTCTCGAGCAAGGCCTTGGCGAGATGGGGATGGCAGATGAACATGGAGATCGCATCATCCCGGGTCGGCAAAGTTCCCCCAGGAGCGGCTGGTAAGACCCCCATGGATCTCCTGCAGGAAAGCCTGGAATCCAAGGACAAGCATGGACCCTGGGCTCCGGAATGGTTGCAACATGTACTTGGCAGACACCTATCCAGGACAGTGGACCCACTTGCTCCACCAGGGCCACCTAGAGGCACTGGCGCACATTGCAGAAGACCCGGACGCCCCTTCCTGGACCACCTGGCAGATGGAGTGCCAGTGGGGGTCGACACACCGGTCTTGGAAGACCCTCACATCTAACTGGGACAAACTCTACAGGAATTGGAGCCCCTGGTTCCTACTACCACCGAGAACTACTCAAGCGCAGATTGAGAGCACCTTCAAAGAAGAGCGGGACATGGGCATGGTACTCGGCCCTTTCTCCAAGGAAGAGGCCGCCAAAGTCTGCGAATGTAGACCGGAAGACCTTTGTGTGGGGGCCATGGCCCGCGAGCCAGGAGGCAGACAAGATCTTCGACGCCACCATCATTGGAGTGAATGACAACATCCGATCACACATCACCAAGAAGACCACCTCCCCCACACTTCACGTTGTGCTGTCGGCAAGGGGACAGCTCCTGGAGGAGGACCTCACCTTGTTCAAGTCGGATGTCAGCAAGGCACACAGACGAATCAAAATCCATCGAAATGACTGGAAATACATGATAGCGACGATCAAGAACCTATTCTGGGTCAACATGGTCGGCACCTATGGGGTTGCATCTGCCCAGTATTACTGGAGCTACCACATCTCGGCGGAGTTCTTGTGGGTCATGGACCAATGGTCTTCGTGGACGACTTCATGCCTCCTGCGCAAGCTGGCGGGCCTGAAGATGGCGGGCATCTTCCTCCTGTTTCTTTCCCTGGTGGGATGTCCCATCTCCCGGCGTAAAAATGCCCTGGGACCGCAGAACTTGTGGCTAGGGTACTGGGTGGACATCAACAAGGGTACGGCCTGGTTGCCAGATGAGGTGCTGCAAAGACTGCAGCCTATGCTGCAGAAACTGCATTTGGGGGAGCTGCACACAAGGCCGCAGGTGACGGCCGCCTTCAGTGGGTAGCCAAGGCCTTCCCTACTCTATCGCCTTACCTACAACTATGCATGGGAGCAAAAGCTGATGAGGAGGTGCAAGCCGGGTCAACTGGTCCGGTCAAGGCATGAAATCACTCACCACCCCAAAAAACCTGGGCTGGTTCTTCCTTTACCTACTAGGTTGTGGTTCTGAGAAACTCCCTGGAACCACCGTTGTACTGGGTTTTATTTAACGCGGATTCGCGAGACCGAAATTCTTTTGAACACGGACTCACGCGGAACCTGGGGTATGTGAATACCCTTAATCCGGGACTGGGGCCGGCAGGAAGTAGACACAGCCAACAGGCTGTGTTTGCTGCCCTGCCCTGGTTTGGGTTAATTTTGCCACCCTCGCGGTCTCGGGGTAAAAGTGCAAGGAGTGCTGCAGACTGCACTGTGACAAAAGCAACAAACATTGGTTTCCACCACGCTGTCAATGTGGTGCGAAATGGATTTCAGCCATCCACAGCATGTATTGGAGTGGAATAGGGCAAAACCGATGCTGGGACTGGGTTTTTGGCTCAGGGGAGGGGAGTGTCAAAGGGACCAGCGGAGTTATGTCCACGAGAATTTCTGGACCTAGAGTCTGCCTTCTAGGGGAATCTTATTTGAAAGTGAGCTCAGGGCATCGGAATGAGTTCAAACAGCGGCATCACAGAAAAGATTTAAATTAACCTCTTTTGTTCGGTGTCTTCCCCAAATTCCAGACCTGGCTGCTTGGATACCCACTTGCCAGTCCGTTTTTTCTGCCCAATCAGGTTCCGGAATTGCTTGTGAGGGTACAAGGCAAGTTCCTTGATAGCAGGGTCTTGGCTACCCTTGATGTGTTTGGTTTCCTCTCTTGTCTGATGCCTCATGTTTGGCAGGTTTTGTCTAGAATCCCAGGCACCAAAGGCCGATTTTTTTGCTACGAAAATCGAGGGCCGGCTTGAAGAAATTTAGAGGATGATTCCCGTTCAGGAAACCATGGCCCAGGTACCCCTACCAGGGAAAACCATCCAAGTAAAACGGGCTGAACGAAGTGCTAACTCTCCACACTGCAGTTGCGTGAACGTAGATGGCCCAATTCCCCAGTTTGGGTTGCGCCATCCATCTTACTTACCCCCCTAAAGGGAAGCGCGCCATCTTTTGCCCAACGCAGGCCGTACAGAGGGATGCCAGGAGCACAGGTGCGGCGAGCGACATGGGTGAAACACCAGGGAGGGGTATTGGGAGAGCGGACCTCATGTTAGGGTTTTGGTTTGCGACGTCACCCTTGAAAGATTCTTCAAAGGGATCCCTGGTTTTGATCGTGAATGATAATAAGTTTCTCAGCATTTTGTGCTTCAGTTGCCTCTCTATCAAAGGCTGAATGTATATGCCCATATATCAACCCCTGCTATGAACCCATAGTTGAGTGGATTCACCTCACCGTAAGTTCATGTGTGGACCTATACAACCAGCCTTTGACTCTGGCAGGCACCTTCGAGTTGGTCAAACGGCTTTTCCCCTAGCCGAGCTGGTTGCTAGATTTGTTGGCTGCTTTGAGATAGAAGGGACTGTTTAAGCAAACACCTACTTTCCTTTTGGAGGGGGAGCCTGCGGCCAAAGAAACACGTTCACGACTTGTTTATGGTTCTCATGTTTGTGTCAAACCACAAGGACATTGGACACCACTTTGAGAAAAAACCGAACAGAGCCAAGATTCCTTTGTGGGGTTGCCTCAACGTAATAGCAATCTCCCTTTAGGGTATGATAGGATATGATGTCAACCCTTGGCTAAAAAGGAGGTATGTGCGCTTCAGGGAAAACCCGGTTTTGAAAAATACCAATTAACAAGAGAAGGTTTTTGGAGCTTTGG